AGAAGAAGGCTTCAGTCCATCAAACTTCTCAGAGCTAAAGGAGGAATTACGTACCCAGTGCAAAGAAACTAAAAATCTTGAAAAAAGAGTGAAGAATTGATAACTAGAATCATTAATGCAGAGAAGGCCATAAACGAACGGACAGAGATGAAAACCATGACATGAGAAATACTTGACAAATGCACAAGCTTCAGTAACAGACTCGATCAACTGGAAGAAAGAGTATCAGCGATTCAGGATCAAATGAATGAAATGAAGCGAGAAGAGAAATCTAAAGAAAAAAGAAGAGAAAGAAATGAACAAAGCCTGCAGGAAGTATGGGATTATGTAAAAAGACTAAATCTACATCTGATTGGGGTGCCTGAAAGTGAGGGGGAAAATGGAACCAAGTTGGAAAACACTCTTCAGGATATCATCCAGGAGAACTTCCCCAACCTAGTAGGGCAGGCCAACATTCAAATTCAGGAAATACAGAGAATGCCACAAAGATACTCCTCGAGAAGAGCAACTCCAAGACACATAATTGCCAGATTCACCAAAGTTGAAATGAAGGAAAAAATCTTAAGGGCAGCCAGAGAGAAAGGTTAGGTTACCCACAAAGAAGCCATCAGACTAACAGCAGATCTCTGTAGAAACTCTCCAAGCCAGAAGAGAGTAGAGGCCAATGTTCAGTATTCTTAAAGAAAATTTTCAACCCAGAATTTCATATCAGCCAAACTAAGTTTCATAAGTGAAGGAGAAATAAAATCCTTTACAGATGGCAAATGCTTTGAGATTTGTCACACAGGCCACCTTACAAGAGACCCTGAAGGAAGCACTAAACATGGAAAGAAACAACCCGTATCAGCCATTGCAAAAGCATGTCAAAATGTAAAGACCATCGAGGCTAGGAAGAAACTGCATCAACTAACAGTAAAATAACCAGTTAATATCCTTTGCTTGAGATCAAGTTCACACATATATGTACCTTAAATGCAAATGGGACTAAATGCTCCAATTAAAGACACAAACTGGCAAACTGGATAAGAGTCAAGACCCATCAGTCTTCTTGTATTCCAGGCCCATCACATGCAGGGAACATATAAATAAAAATAAAGGGATGGAGGAAGATCTACCAAGCAAATGGAGAACAAAAAAAAAAGCAGGGGTTGCAATGCTAGTCTCTGATAAAACAGACTTTAAACCATCAAAGATCAAAAGAGACAAAGAGGACCATTTACATATTGTTAAAGAGATCAATTCAGCAGGAAGGAGGCTAACGATCCTACAGGAGCACCCAGATTCATAAAGCAAGTCATCCAAAAGGACTTACAAAGGAACTTAGACTCCTTTAATAATATTAGGAACAGCACCACTGCTCAATATTAGACAGATCAATAAGACAGAAAGTTACAAGGATATCCAAATTAGACTCATCTCTGCAGCAAACAGACCTAATAGACATCTAGAACTCTCCACCCCAAATCAACAGAATATACATTCTTCTCAGCACCACATCACACTTATTCCCAGGCAGCCACAGGTGGAAGTAAGCCTCCTCAGCAAATGTATAAGAACCAGAAATTGCATAACAAACTGTCTCAGACCACAGTGCAATCAAACTAGAACTCAGGACTAAAAAACTCAATCAAAACCACTCAACTACATGGAACTGAATAACCTGCTCCTGAATGACTGCTGGGTACATGTAATGAAATGAAGGCAGACATAAAGATGTTCTTTGAAACCAATAAGAACAAAGATACAACATACCAGAATCTCTAGGACACATTTAAAGCAGTGTGTAGAGGGAAATTTATAGCACTAAATGCCCACAAGAAAGCTGGAAAGATCTAAAATTGTATCTAACACCACAATTAAAAGAACTAGAGAAGCAAACAGAAACACATTCAAAAGCTAGCAGAAGGCAAGAAATAACTAAAGATCAGAGCAGACCTGAAGGAGATAGAGACACAAAAACCCTCCAAAAAATCAATGAATCCAGGAGTTGGTTTTATGAAAAGATCAACAAAATTGATAGACTGCTAGCAAGACTAATAAGAGAAAAAAGAGAGAAAGAATCAAATAGATGCAATCAAAAGGCTGATAAAGGTATCACCACACATTTACAGAAATACTACCAGCAGAGAATACCTCAAACACCTCTGTAGAATAAACTAGAAAAACTAGAAGGAAATGGATATTTCCAGGACATGACACTCTCCCAAGACTAAACTAGGAAGAAGCTGAATCCCTGAATAGACCAATAGCAGGCTCTGAAATTGAGGCAATAATTAATAGCCTACCAACCGAAAAAAGTCCAGGAGCAGATTCACGGCTAGATTCTACCAGAGTACAAGGAGTTACTGGTACCATTCCTTCTGAAACTATTCCAATCAATAGAAAAAGAGAATCCTTTCCTAACTCATTTATGAAGCCAATATCATCCTGATGCAAAGCCTGGCAGAGACATAACACAACAAAAGAGAATTTTAGACCAATATCCCTCAGTGAACATCGATTCAAAATCCTCAATAAAATGCTGGCAAACCGGATCCAGCAGCACATCAAAAGCTTATCCACCATGATCAAGTAGGCTTCATCCCTGGGATGCAAGGCTAGTTCAACATATGCAAATCAATAAATGTAATCCAGCATATAAAACCTGGAACCAAAGAAACCAAAAACCACGCAGTTATCTCAATAGATGCAGAAAGGCCACAGTAAATTCAACAGCCCTTCATGCTAAAAAGATGCTCAATAAATTTGGTATTGATGGGAACGTACCTCAAAATAATAAGAGCTATTTATGACAAACCCACAGCCAATATCATACATAAGAGCTATTTATGACAAACCCACAGCCAATATCATACTGAATGGGCAAAAACTGGAAAAATTCCCTTTGAAAACTGGCACAAGACAGGGATGCCCTCTCTCACCATTCCTATTCAACATAGTGTTGGAAGTTCTGGCTAGGGCAATCAGGCAAGAGAAAGAAATCAAGGGTATTCAGTTAGGAAAAGAAGAAGTCAAATTGTCCCTCTTTGCAGATGACATGATTGTATATTTAGAAAACCCCATTGTCTCAGCCCAAAATCTCCTTAAGCTGAGAAGAAACTTCAGCAAAGTCTCAGGATACAAAATTAATGTGCAAAAATCACAAGCATTCTTATACACCAGTAACAGACAAACAGCCAAATCATGAATGAACTTCCATTCTCAATTTCTTCAAAGAGAATACAATACCTAGGAATCCAACTTACAAGGGATGTAAAGGACCTCTTCAAGGAGAACTACAAACCACTGCTCAGTGAAATAAAAGAGGACACAAACAAATGGAAGAACATACCATGCTCATGGATAGGAAGAATCAATGTCGTGAAAATGGCCATACTGCCCAAGGTAATTTATACATTCAATGCCATCCCCATCAAGCTACCAATGACTTTCTTCACAGAATTGGAAAAAACTGCTTCAAAGTTCATATGGAACCAAAAAAGAGCCCGCATTGCCAAGACAATCCTAAGTCAAAAGAACAAAGCTGGAGGCATCACACTACCTGACTTCAAACTATACTACAAGGCTACAGTAACCAAAACAGCATGGTACTGGTACCAAAACAGAGATATAGACCAATGGAACAGAACAGAGTCCTCAGAAATAATACCACACATCTACAGGCATCTGATCTTTGACAAACCTGAGAAAAACAAGAAATGGGGAAAGGATTCCCTATTTAATAAATGGTGCTGGGAAAATTGGCTAGCCATAAGTAGAAAGCTGAAACTGGATCCTTTCCTTACTCGTTATAGGAAAATTAATTCAAGATGGATTAGACACTTAAATGTTAGACCTAATACCATAAAAACCCTAGAAGAAAACCTAGGTAATACCATTCAGGACATAGGCATGGGCAAGGACTTCATGTCTAAAACACCAAAAGCAACGGCAACAAAAGCCAAAATAGACAAATGGGATCTCATTAAACTAAAGAGCTGCTGCACAGCAAAAGAAACTACCATCAGAGTGAACAGGCAACCTACAGAATGGGAGAAAATTTTTGCAACGTACTCATCTGACAAAGGGCTAATATCCAGAACCTACAAAGAACTCAAACAAATTTACAAGAAAAAAACCAACAACCCCATCAAAAAGTGGGCAAAGGATATGAGCAGACATTTCCCAAAAGAAGACATTCCTCAAAAGAAGACATTCATACAGCCAACAGACACATGAGAAAATGCTCATCATCACTGGCCATCAGAGAAATGCAAATCAAAACCACAATGAGATACCATCTCTCACCAGTTAGAATGGTGATCATTGAAAAGTCAGGAAACTACAGGTGCTGGAGAGGATGTGGAGAAATAGGAACATTTTTACACTGTTGGAGGGATTGTAAACTAGTTCAACCATTATGGAAAACACTATGGCGATTCCTCAAGGATCTAGAACTAGAAGTACCATATGACCCAGCCATCCCATTACTGGGTATATACCCAAAGGATTATAAATCATGCTGCTATCAAGACACATGCACACGTTTGTTTATTGCGGCACTATTCACAATAGCAAAGACTTGGAATCCACCCAAATGTCCATCAGTGACAGACTGGATTAAGAAAATGTGGCACATATACATCATGGAATACTATGCAGCCATAAAAAAGGATGAGTTTGTGTCCTTTGTAGGGACATGGATGCAGCTGGAAACCATCATTCTCAGCAAACTATTGCAAGAACAGAAAACCAAACACCGCATGTTCTCACTCATAGGTGGGAACTGAACAATGAGATCACTTGGACTCGGGAAGGGGAACATCACACACCAGGGCCTATCATGGGGAGGGGGGAGGGAGGAGGGATTGCATTGGGAGTTAAACCTGATGTAAATGACGAGTTGATGGGTGCTGACAAGTTGATGGGTGCAGCACACCAACATGGCACATGTATACATATGTAACAAACCTGCACATTATGCACATGTACCCTAGAACTTTAAGTATAATTTAAAAAAAAACACCATTCAAAATGTAAATTCCATAAGCTTAGACACCACATCACTTTTCGGCCTTTAAGTTCCAGTGTTCCAGGTAATGGAGTTGTGTGGCGGCAGTGTGAACTCCATTCAGCCAGAGCCTCTATACTGCGTTGACAGGAGGGTGGGACACAAGGACAAAAGGCAGCTTTGACATGAAATACTGAGGTGCTTCTTTCTGACTCCCAACAGAGGACACTTTGTTACAGTGCATCCAACCATCAGCTCCCTTGCTCTTTCACACACTGCCACAGGTGACCGTGGGCAGGAGCACTGCAGGGTGTGCAGAGCATGGCTGCCCCTCGCTGCTTGTCCTGAGTGACACCTCTCACCACAGAGGTTTGTCTTGCTCAAAGGACGGAGTTGCCACTCATTAATGAACTCATCCAATGTTTGCTTACTGAACACAAACAATGTGTCTGGCACTTTTTTGGTGTCCTGTGGACACACCAGAGGACATAAGTTCTTACCTTAACCCAACTCACCAAAACGAGGAGACAGGCAAGTGGCCTGTGACTAAAATGCAGCCCAGTGAGCACCACAGCAGCAGAAGCACAGGGTGCTCTGGGCACACTTACTCCAAATCCCCCTTGAGGGTCAGTGAGAGCCTCCTCCTGGGAGCCACAGTGGCTTCAGGATTAGTCAGAGGAAGCTTTGACGCATGGGCATCCCAGGCAGTGGGGCTTCACATGGTGGGTGGCTATATTTGGGGTGTTAGGTCCCAAAGAGGAAGTGATGATGAATGAAGTTGGGTGGCAGTGGGAAACAGGTCAAATCAAGTCAGGTTAAGGAGCTTGGAGACTCCCCTAAGGGAATTAGGACATCGAGTGAGGGACACGATCTGTGCCAATAACGGGTTGCATGGCAAGCATCTCTGACACGATGAATGCGCAGACTCTTTCATCCGTCTCTACTTCTTGGTATACAGTTATTTTACAGTAAAATTCACAGGCTGTGGTAAATGATACAGCAACAAAAATATGCCTTGTAGAACTGCATTTAATAACAGATGGCTAGGAATAACCCACATGGCCATTAGTCAGGAACTGAGTAAATAAACGACAATAAATCTGTAACCCATGACATCAGTCACCAGTTGGTTGCGGGAGGTGACTTGATCTTGCCTGTTTTGTGTCTTTTGGATGTTGTGTCATGAGCACCACTTATCAATTCAAACATAAGTAAACACACCTCATTTAAATATTTCAAAAGTATGTAATATCAACTGCTGTAGTCCCGGTGACTTCAGTGTGGCCGCAGGACCTGTTCCTACTCATTGGTGGCATCAGACGTAACTCTGAAGTTGAACCTTAAGGGCCCTGGAGCTGTGAAAATGAACGTTCATCCAGTGAAATTGCCTATTTACCACACCAGCAGACACGGCACTGCAATGAAGAGATGGTGATCGAGAACTATTTTGGCTTTTGTCTCCAGTTCTCAAAAACTGGCCTTTCCATGTGATCTCTTCCAAGGTCTATGATATGTGCATATACGTTGATTATCTATCTATCTATCTATCTATCTATCTATCTATCTATCTGTCTGTTGATAAGTTGATAGATATCTCTCAACGTATATGCACATATCATAGGCCTTGGAAGAGATTAGAAGGAAGTTTCTCTGGCTCTTCACAGTTCACAATGGAATGCTACATCTTAAAATTACCTCTGGGGAGGTCGAGGTGGGGGGCTTATGAGGTCAGGAGATCGAGACCAGCCTGGCTAACACGGTGAAACCCTGTCTCTATGAAAAATACCAAAAACCAGCTGGACGTGGTGGCACGCATTTGCAGTCCCAACTACTTGGGAGGCTGAGGCAGGAGAATTGCTTGAACCCGGGAGGCGGAGGTTGCAGTGAGCCGAGACTGCACCACTGCCACTGTACTCCAGCTTGGGAGACAGAGCGAGATGCTGTCTCAAAAAAATAAATAACATAAAAAAAAAATTACCTCTGTAAGAAGAATTTACTATGCAGTGAGAAACAGATCCTATCTTGGGACAATTATTTCCCTTGCGATTGAAATTATTTTCATTTCCCTTGCAATGTTTGTTTCTGTGTATTTGAAGGTGGACTTCCTTGGGTTTTCTCAGCCCACTTACACACAAAAAAAGACTAAAACACAGCAACTGTCCCTAAGACAAGCCCAAAAAAGCATTTCCCCCACTCCCTCAGGTAATGACATATTCCATAAAGGAGGAGATTTTAGTGAAGGTTACCACGAGCCTTACTTTCTGGCAGGAGTGGGTTTTGGTGTCGAGGTCAGCATTTTCAGACTCTCTGTGGCTGGGTTCGTCACCCTTTTGATCCCATAAATTGGTCAATAAAGGTACAACGTACCATATCTAGGACTGATCCAGTAGTGTCAAAAAATAACATAATAACCGGAGAACCACCATCTTAAAATAGCATTCTAGAAGTTTTATTCCTAAATGAACTTTTTATTTTCAAGTTTTCTTCTTGGAGAATTTACACATTTACTCCATCAGTGCTGCTATGCCTAAATTAAATTCACTGTTTCTTTTTTTAAATTTGGAATAACTTTCAAGCTAATTTTAAAGTTCTCCTTACAAATCGGTCTTCAATTTTTAAACCTAAGGTATTTTTTATTTTAATTACCTACATTACCTGGAAATTTAGCTATTTTAATTGTATCTATATATAAATTGGATATTTGAATTATATATAAATTATATAAATATATGTTGATGTGGTATAGATATATATGTACAATCTATTATAAAATATCTATAACACAAGGATAAGGTGATTTGCATTCATAATAATATTCACACAGACATTTTAGAAACTTTAGTTCTCTGTTCTTACCCTTTACACTAATTTATTTGTGTGTGTATATGCATCCTAAGAATCTCACTCACCAATCTGACAAAATGAGCCATCTAAGCAGAAAATTTCCCTGAGAATAATGACATAGTCTTCTTTATTTAACCAGAAGAATGTCTATGTTCCAAAATGCTTGTAATATCCATTTTTAATGTGATGTGTGATGTTGAGAAATCAGGACATGTTTGAACAATGAGATTTGCATTGCAAAGGCAGCAGGCTGTGGGCGCGACCACCTTCCTTAACCTACTGACTGACTTTTTCCAGCTGTGCATAGCAAGGAAACAATTGCTTACACAAGAATTTCAGGATGGGCTGGCAGGTCGTTTCCCATTCCACTACAAATTCTGGACTAAAAGCCAGGAAATGTGGAGCTATTCTTGTTTCTGCAATTGCTTGTTTTGAGGGAGTGGTTAATCCTCAAGGCATCAGACTAGATGACTTCAGTAATTCTGGTTTGTCTAAGATTGACTCGATCTATAATCACGTAGGATAATGTCATTGTTCAAAGTGGTCCAGTATCCAGAACAGCTACCAAGTGGGCATAAATTCGTCACAAAGATGACTGACTTGTAGACAGAATAGGTAAACACTCTCATTGAATAAGATTTCACCTGTTCTGGGAAATCTCACTTGGCCATATTCTTCCTAAACTGACATTCCAGAATTCAGACTTTCCTTTAGCTTCCAGCTTTGACAGCCACTATGTGGTCAGTAGTTCTAAGTTCACTCACTCACGCTGAATGCAGGGAAAGCTTTGCCACGGGTGTGTGTTGTCACCTCCTTGCTGTAGAGGAGATCACTACATGTTTTGATTCAGCTTCCATCTAAGAAGAGACTCAGCAGCTCAGCAGTGCGGGCTCTGGAACTGCCTCTCTGAGGGCAGCGCGCATAGTCTGGCTTGAGCAAAGGGTGACTTTCCTTCCAGAGGGTGCAGAAGGCCTGAACGTATTTGCCAGACACAGTGTCACTTCTGCGCAAGGTTAACGAGTGAGTATGGGCTGAAGTCACTAAATCTTCCCTTGATGGCATCAAAAAGGACAGCCGTCAGGCACTGTGCTCTGTTCCCCATGGTACCCCCTGACGTGGTGATGGGCCCTGACGTGGCTCAGCTAGGCCCTCAGTGGTTCCCTGGGGCAGCTGGCTCAGGACCTACCACTGAAGCACAGATGTTTCTCAGGGCTGATTGAACTCCCATTCCTGCAAGTGCTCCGGGCTTGGTTTTCTCCACTCTCCCTGGTCTGATGCATTTCACGTCTACTCTTAGACCAGGCAAGGTATAGTGATGAGAAGCAGAAGGATAACTTGAACTATGTTAGAATTTCCCCAAAGGCTGTCGAGGTGAGCAAGCGCATGCAGGGCCTGCCCAGTTGTCAGCATGCCTGGAGGCAGAGGGGGCCACCCACGAGTTCTCCCTGCTCTCTTACAAGCGTCACCCAGGTGAACTGGAGGCAGAGGGGGGCGCCCACAAGTTCTCCCTGCTCTCCAAGCGTCACCCAGGTGAGCCGGAGGCAGAGGGGGGCGCCCACAAGCTCTCCCTGCTCTCTTACAAGCATCACCCAGGTGAACTGGAGTCAGAGGGGGCCACCCACGAGTTCTCCCTGCTCTCCAACAAGCATCACCCAGGTGAGCTGGAGTCAGAGGGGGGCGCCCACAAGCTCTCCCTGCTCTTCAACAAGCGTCACGAAGGTGAGCTGGAGGCAAGTGTCTTCCTCTCCCCACACAGACAAGAATAAAACCTCATTCTCCTCTGCAGCCACACCTGCCACTCCGCAAGCACCACCAGGCTGGACTACAGGGGGTCGCATCTAGCTCGGGCCTCTGCTCTCGGCAGCCCTGGGCACTGAGTGTTCTGGCACTGGGCTCAGTACTGTTAGCCACTTGTGGAGGTGAGGCAATGGGACCTTAGAGTGGGGGCGATTTTCCAAAATTCAGAGCTACTGGCAGAATTCAGACATCCTAATTTCTCCTCAATTCCCTACATACATTCTCTTGCCAAAGACAAACTTGACCTGCTGGGATCTTTATGAATATAGAATTCAGAAAAAGCAATCTTAAGTAGGAATGATCTGAACTCAAACCTAAAGATATTAACTGAAATAAACCTGAAAAAGTACAATGTTTTAATGGAAGATGTCATGAACATATGAAGTTACTACATGTTACTTGGTTTTATAACCTACTCTCATATTTTTAAATTTTTATTCTGGGCATACCATCTCCCGTCACGTTTTTGTCTTAAACTTTGATATATTTATTAAAATATTTTGTATGATATTAAATGATGTTATAACTACACTGGTCTTTTTATTATTCTGTTTTCAAAGAAAAAAAACCCTGATTTTTAAAAAATTAAATGAACATATGTATACATAGGGGAAAATAAATAAATTGAAATAGCATAAATGTTCAAATTAAAATCTACAGAAGTAGATATTTCTTCCTACTGAAATTTTCCTCTCATGAGAACATCTTTTTGTCTTTTAAAAATCTTTCTCAACTCACTGGTCATGTGAGGACTGGATTTTTGCAAATGGTTTTTCTTTCACAGTTGTGAACTCACTCACAAGTAAACCGTGAGATGCCAAACATTAAAAAAAATTCCTTTGAATGTGATCCATATGCAGATCAACGCATTTCCTCCCCTCGGGTCGTTCCCTTCCGTTCCCTGCAGGCAGTGAACGTCCTCTCAGACACGCTGCAGGCGTGCAGAGTCGCCACCAGGGGGCGCCCACCTCCCATTGCAGCCTCATCCGCCTGTCAAGTAAGGAACAACAGCAGCCCACAGTATTTTCCCCAGAGACAGAAACATAACCTTATTCCTGTCACAGCTCAAAAAGAAAGAAAAAGAAAAAAAAATGGAATGCAGAATTTACATAGAAGTCTTAAAATATGTTTTATCTCCATTGTCAGTAACCCCCAGCAGACCAACTTTTACTTTCATTCCTTCAATAATTTCCCTGTGCAAGGGAGCAGCAAATCATGGCTGGTCTATTTTATCTGTCAATCAAATGGTAATTTTCTTAATGTTTGTTACCATAGCACCCTCAGCCTGTGCTCCTCCGCTGCCTCTGTTTTCTGCAGCTTGGTTCACTGTTACAGGTAAGCAATCAAGGATTTCTCCAGGGGACTCTGGAATGAGGCGAGGGAGTGTGGAGAGGGAAGCCCACGTAATTACCACAATGACGGGCTGACATCGTAGAATCCAAAAACGACTTCCACCCCCTCACTTTAAAGATGAAGCAACGGAGTTTCTAAAACAGCAGTGCATTATGCGAACTGAGCTTGCAAACCCAACAGAACCCACCTTGACAAATTTTAGCTCAATAATGCCTAACATTAAATGACATGTTTCACCCTGACAGCACCTCAGAATTTCTTTCCAATTAATTTTTAAAACATTTCTTTAGTCACGTGTCAGTTTTATTCTTTAACAGAAAAAAAAATCAAGAGCAAGCTCAGGCAAAGTGTCTTTCTTTTTATCTCCTAAGACAGAATTGGAATTAAACATATGCACGGGGATGTGCTTGTCATCAAGATCCGTGGTTAGAACATTTGGTCATGACCTTCCGTAACATCCTCAATCAAAAGCATTCTATAGCAATGGACATGAATTCTCAGATATTTCATTTTTTAAAGGAAGTTCCTGGGTTACTGAAGGATCATAGGTACACAAAGTGGCAGATGATCCAAAAAATATACATTTAAAACTTTCCAATTTGGTACATGGAGATGTGAGCACCATAAAGAAATGATGCAAGAGATACTGAATTTAATAAGTGTGACCAAAATGGTAAAAAACTCCTGATCATTTTCAGAAATTATTCACCGATTCCAAGGGCTGATATTCCCTTTTTTGTGAATAATAGGAATCCTAGGTATCAGTACATAGCCAAGAAGACAGTGAGAGGAAGAACTCGAGGTCCTCGAAGATTCTGGTTGCAGAGGACTCTAAGAAAAGGAATCACCACGCCACTGGTTTGCCACTAAGGAGAAGCACCTAGAAAAAAACTGATGCTCACATGGATAGTGTCTGTCATCAGGCCATATGCAGTTATGTGCTTATAGAATACTTTTTTTGAGGTCGATAAGCAAATTAAGTGAAGAATCCTTGACATCCTAGAGGGAATTCTCCATCCTTCTGGAAGCTGTGACTTGGATGCAGTTCAAATAGGAAAACCATTATAATTAAATTTGTTGAATTTGAAGGAAACTCCACCTATTCCTTTAATTCTTAGTGAGAAATGATTGCCCTTTTAACATCTAGAGTGGAAATCAAATGCTTTATGATTTTTTTCAAAAAGAAAAATTGCTGGAGGCAAGATGAAGGTCAACTTACTTGGTGAATTCTTTTTGATGGAACTGTGTTTAGCGATCGTCACTGTGCCTAACTCAATGAGGAAGACATCCAACAGAACTACCTGTGAACATGTGAAGTTGCTATGAGCTCACCATCCAACCTAAGGCCATCCAGGTGGCCTTAGGTTATCAGCAGCCAACTGGGAAACCAGAAAAAATACTCCCAGTTCTCTTCTGTGTTTACTCTGGTCCTTCCTGGGTACAGAAGACATTTCATGCAAAATGCATAAAGGTACCTGAGATGGCTCACATTTAATTGCAAACTTATTTGTAATGTAAACTATGTAAAAATCCATGTACATTTGTAGAAGATGGACATCCAAAAATGTGCAACTTAAAATCTGGGAACAAATTATATTCACACATGTATTACTAGGTTCCTTAGAAGCATGACAAACCACTCCACAGTTGAGCCAGTGATCCTCTGAGAGCTGTCCTCTATTCTAACATCATCCAAGATGAAAACCATTCTGGGGCCCATGTCTGGGACTCTTATAAGCAATGGGCAGGCAGCTGTGATGGACAGGAGAAGAAATCTCCTTGCTCAGGTCCAGCAGTGCACTCTTTCATTTCTTTTTCCTTTTGAGGTAGGGTCTCGCTATATTGCCTAGGCTGGAGCACAGTGGCAGGATCACAGCTCACTGCAACCTCCAGCACCTGAGCTCAAGCAATCCTGTATCTGCCTTCCAAATAGCTGGGACTATAGGTGCCCATAACTGTGTCTGCGGACTTTTTTCACTTTTAATTTTTTGTAGAGGAAAGGTCTTGCTATGTTGTCCAGTCTGGCCTCAAACTCCTGGCTACAAGCAATCCTCCCACCTCAGCCTCCCCAAATTGTGGGGATTACAGGCATGAGCCACTGCATCTGGCCTCAGCAGTGCACTTGTAAGGGACACCTGTAACCGATGGTGGGAAATGATGCCTGCTAGTTATCAACATGGATGAGAATTCTTCAAAGAGGCATAGGTCACACCTTAGAAAAGAAGATCAATATGAAAATTATTGTCTTTTTCTGTCAGATTGTTTTACAGAACTTCAGGGCAAAATGACTTCAGAATTTATCCTGTATATTTTCAAGCAATTTAAACATAAAATGAACATTAACCCAACTGAAAGTGACATAAGAACCACTGTTCTTAGGTTTCCAAATGTTCAGTGATGAGATTATCCTAGGGGGCCTCTAACAGAGTTGCCATTTTTCTCTGGATCTGATGAAAAATCTCTTTTTTCCTGCCACTTTTCCGTAATGATGTAGTTATGGCTATGAAGAAGCTGTCTTTACCAAACTCGAAAACAATGAAAACTGCAGACTGGATTCTCTGCCTATGTTGTGAAGTGAGAGATTTAATTCTACCCTGGCATTCTGAATGTGTATGGAGGAAGGGGGTGAACATTCAAACATGTATTTCAGATTCACAAATACAGATATGTGTAGGAAAAATATATAAGATAAACGCAAACACCTCACCCTTCATTTGGGTTTTTTCTCTACTTTGAGAACTTGGTTCAAAAACTATTGTTCTTCTCTAGGACAAAAGCCAATGTGAGTGTAAATGCATAAATATAACCTGTACATAAAAATCCAATAGCTTCTCTGAAGTGCTAATGTCACAGACACCTCACTGTCCCACAATAAAACAATGAAGGCCTTATCTTCATGGTTATTTGTGGAATGTTCTATGCAAAATTCAATATGAATTAATAGCCTGTGTCTGGTGAATTCTGTCTCAAACTCAAAGCAAGAAAATATTGATTTCCTCCTTCCCTGATTCCTTCCTTCCCTCTTCCCTCCTTTCTACCCCTCCTCCCCCTCCAGCAAAGAGGAGCTACATAAAAAATGACTTGAGCATCAATTCAGTAGAATAACATGCAGACCTGTGAAATCATTCTGCATTTCACTTTCCTGTGTGCAATGGCTATGGCTGGTTAAAGACATAACTTGCCTTTCTCCCTTATCTGTAATCCTTGCAGCAAATCCACATGGGGGCGGGTTTGACCACTGCACTTTCTAATTTACTCGTGAAGGGGTGGTGCCTCCGAGAGAATGCACAATAGAAACAGGATGAAGGCCAAGGCGCCTGACCTTTAGTCACGTGTTCTTCCCACAAGCTTGGGCAGCATAAGAAATACTAAAATGATGAGTTAATGGGAGAAGCACACCAACATGGCACATGTATACATATGTAACAAACCTGCACATTGTGCACATGTACCCTAGAACTTAAAGTACAATTAAAAAAAAAAAAGAAAGAAAAATACTAATCCAGGTCGGGCACGGTGGCTCGCACCTATAATTCCAACACTTTTGGGAGCCAAAGCGGGCAGATCATTTGAGGTCAGGAGTTGGAGACCAGCCTGGCCAACACGGTGAAACTCCGTCTCTACTAAAAATACAAAAATTAGCCAGGTGCGGTGGTGCATGCCTGTAACCTCAGCTATTCAGGAGTCTGAGGCACGAGAATTGCTTGAACCCAGGAGGTGGAGGTTAAAGTGAGCCAAGATCACACCATTGCACTCTAGCCTGGGTGACAGAGCAAGACTCCGTCTCAAAAAAAGAAAAAAAAAGAAAAAGACTCATCCAGTTCCGTTCTTATGGGGAGCTTTGGTGGACGATTTCTCGATAGCTTATCACTTAGAACAGTGTGGCTAATGAATACATATGTAAATAAGTGATGCACAAATAATTTGATAAGTTCTCATTCGAGCATCTTAATATGTTACTCTGTTTTAGAGGAGTTTGGTAAGTCTAATGTCAGAAGAGAATTTTCATGTACGCATACGATAGTGTTTTATCCTTGCACTTGAAAATGAAACATGCTACAACTTGAGCCACAATAGTGCCAGGGACATCGTATAGCATTATCGTTACAAAAAGAGAATGCAGAGCAACAACTCGGATTATCACACCACCCTGGCAAAGGATCTTGTTCTCGCCATCTAATTATCATTTTATTTAAAAAAAAAAAAAAGGCTCTTGCTCTTTATGTCTTATTCTGTCTAAATTATGTAATGCTTATAAATGTCCAGAAGACGATGCTGATATTGGTGTTTTACCCAGTCTGACTCATTTGCGGAAAGAAGTAAACATTGTCTAATGGATAGGCTTGTTGTGTGGCTCTAATAGACACACACACACGTACAATTTAGGCAGATAGTTTTAAAGCTCTTAATACTTTTTACAGATAAAATCACATAAAAATTCTCAGAAAATTAAAAAAAAAGAAAATAGGTAAGAGAACATCAACTTCTGACTAATTTGAAAAGCATAATTTCACTGGTCTTAGCACGTCTTCTGTTCTTACGGAATTCAAAGGCAATGCAGGCAGAATCTAACCTACGCTAGGTCACATGTAAGTATATCTAATGATTGCTAACATTTTGCCATCAGATTTCTTCTTTTACACAGTGAATAACTGTGGTCTCAGTTACAGATAGACCACGTGGCACAGAAGCCGAATCATTTCCAGAGCAGTTGAGGGGAGCTTTCCCTACTTCTATTAGTGAAAGTGCGGAAAACTACCAGGCGCATGTTCAAGGTTATATCAGTGAAAGGAAACAGCAAAGCAAACAAACATGACACAAAAAAGCAAAACCACCAGAGACTGGTGCACAGACTCCCACCCGGCACCGTACCTGTACAGATGAAACTGGAGAGGCCTCCGTAGATGACTTCATCATTGTCGGGCAATATAAATGGACACCTCGTCTGAACCTCCAAACAGTATTGCTTGCAAGGAATTGTCTTTCTGCAGTTAAACTGTGTGACTTCAAAGTACTGGGAACAGAGCCAGGCTTTGTAGACAATCTGAAAAAAAGAGAAGAATGAAAAATATAGAGGCGTGACAACAGAATGACAGAGGCACTGTGAGATGCGTGCAAGCGTGCTGTGGTTTCAAGTGGATCCTAGAAAAGCCCTCATTGCGAGAAAGCGTAGTTACACAACGACAGCTGCAAGTGATAAAAACAGAGCAACGAAAGTCTCCGCAATAAAAGCAAAACAGCACTTGATTGAGTCCCTAATTGAATGTAAAAGGTATTTTGGCCTTTAATTTTATGCGGCTTATTTGAAAATCAGTGGATTTAAACAGGAAGTTAAGTTTTCAAAATCCAGGGATATCTAAAGTAAAATAAATAATTGACCCTGTTGCTTGTGCTGTGGTTACTTGCTGCAGTGTGGCTGGTCAGCCAGTTCGCTCCGCATGGAGTCCCACGTCTATGCCTCCATCGGACACTAGATGGCGCGAAGCACTTTACAAAGAGGGCCCAGCAGGGGTTGGGAAACTGCTGTTCAGATCTTGGACTTTCAGAGGCACAGAACAGGCAGAAATGGACATTTACATGCATGACTCACGCCAAATGCATTAAAAATCTCACTGTCTGAAAGCCCGGAAACACCCAACATAGATCAGACATCATATGCTGTGGTGTGGTTGGGAGTAGGAGGGAAGCTTCATCAGAGCCACAGCTTCAACCTTCTAGATGAGGTGCCAGCCTCATGAATGTTTGCTACGTATTTCTATAATTTCATCAAATGTGAAAGGACTGGGACTTCATTCATCTCTTTGTTTTGGTGGCTATTTGGGAAAACAAACATTGAAAAAATTGCCTGTTTCTGACACGTAGGAATAAGCTGATCTTAAATTCACACAAAACAATGGCAGATGTACCCATTTGCAGTACAGGTCGCTGAAATTCAGTTATTCTCCAGGTCCTTGGCACTAATGGCTTTTATTTATCTATTTCTAGGGTTAATATTATCCAAGTAACATTTTGCTGGTTATATTTTACCTAGAAAAATGGAGGCGCCGCACTTAAGAGATTATAAATACTTCATAGTAACAAGAATAATAGTATTTACTTTAGATATCACTGGATTTTGAAAACTTAACTTCCTGATTAAATCCACTGATTTTCAACTAAGAGATTATAAATACTTAACAAGAAAAATAGCTACTATTTATCAACTTTATACTCTTTTCTAAGTAAGTTTACAGCTTATTTTTTTCCATGTAATTCTCAGCATGCAGTTTTGAACATAACTATTAGTCACATTTTGCACAGGAATAATATTAAGTAATAATAATATTAGGTAATGGAAGTGGAAAATCCAGACTCCAAATTCATGTTCTGTAAGACTCCAAAGACTGTGTTCCTAATAGTTATCCTATATTTAATCTGAAAACTACTTTTAAAGCACTTATGAAATCACAAGGGAGTTTGCAGATGAACCTAAAATCAGCATGGCCTTCCATGCCCCCGGTCAATATCTATTTGGTAGAAGGAGGATTGTATTTTCTTATTCATAACTTTTTATTAGGTTGATCAAGATGATGCTTTATTCTGTGATCAAGGTGCCTCGGTAGAGGTAAAATGAGATAAATATCAAAGTGAGATACACTTTTAAATGGCCAAAAGTAAGTTTTCTTTGCCAGTCATCAATGGCTCACAATCACCACGTAACTTGTTAGTAAAACATACAAATAATTAGAATTCTTATAGGTCTTTTGAATGAGTCTTCTCGTAACAGTGTACACTGAAAAATTGCACTAGAAGAAAACATTACGATAGCTGAAGAAACCTCTAAGAATTCTTATGCCAACTGGAAAACGGAGGTGGGCTGTGGCTGTGTGCCTCAGAGGGACAGCAAGAGGCTGCCTCAGGGGGACAGGTAAAGGTGGGGGTGGTGCCGGCAGCAAGAGGCTGGAAGCACCAGCTTCAGAAGAAAAAATGAAATGATTTCTTAACCAAACCATGGGGAAGTTGAAAGCGTTTGTCAAAATGCCATGGACATTGACGTTTGTGTAATATGACATGATATGTAATACGACATGACGTTTATTTTGTAAACTAAGCTGTAATATAAGAATGAGCCACGTATACTCTGATTCCTGGGCTTAACGACCTTTCTCAGGTACTGGAGGAAGCAGGATAGGCTTATACCTGCAGTTCAAACAATAACATTCCATTATGAGGACAGCTTGCTTTCCGCACACTTCTGGGATTACCTGTTTTTCTTTAATGAACGCCCTATGTAATTCCAGAAAGTGGCTCATGTTTTCATTGGCCAAATTGTGGTCCCCATGCCCACCGCTCCCCTACAGGTTGCCTTTCCACAGTTATTCCAGTTAAAATGGGTTCTGAATAGGGAATCGTGTCCTGTAGCCATAAACTTAAGAAACAATGTCTCATCTCTCGCAGACAGTGGGGCGTCCAGTATTGGAGTCTCTTCAGACCTACACATCCTCTTTGCAACCACTTTCCTCAGCACTGCCCAATGGGAACAGATCCATTTTTTTTTCTGGTTCCTTAAATTCTATTTCCGCTATATTTCCTTTGCAGATTTTTTTTTAACTCCAAAATAAAGAAAAAGAAAGAAGAAAGAAACTAGTAAGAGATCACAGCATTTTTTTTTTTTTTAAGTATCAGGTAGTAGTAGTTATGAAGAAAAGTGATCGATCGTCATTTGCAAAGCCACCGGTAGAATCCCAGACCTTATACTCTGGGCTTTAACGACCTCTCCAGCCAGGCTCCATTGTGGCATCCATTATGAGCTATCTCCTGGGCTTTGAGTGTGCAATGAAGATTCCTCATTTGAGTATTAAATATTTTCTAAAATTTTAGCTCTAGGGATAAGATACATCAGAAAACAGGTCGGGGAAACCATGTGAACTGAGTCGAAATCCGAAGGATGGAGGAGAATTATTTTATTGCTACTTAAGAGATTAAGGCTGAGAAGCAGATGTTATATAACCAGAGGATTTATCTTCTCTGTGTAGATGTGTTTACAATAAAAGAGGCAAAGCATACAGCATATTTGCTAAAATATTTCGGAATACACTGGAAAAAGCGTGCATGGGAAGCAAAAAAAAAAAAATTTCTTCTAGAATGTTGAAAAGTGACATAGCATGTTAGTAAAAACCTGAAAACTGTGTTATGTGAAGAACAGAGAATACCTGAGAACTTACTGTGGCTAAGAGCAAATGAGGGGTGAGGATCTTACAGTTATCTCCAGTGTCTGAGAACTGGCTATGTGCTGATGACAATGGCTTTAAACAGTAAATTGTGGAATCAGAAGATAAAAACAAGAGGAAAAACAAACAGGTAGCTATCAGCATGATATAAAGATGAGTTTTCCTGCCAAAAGAGATGCACAGAAATAAAACGAACTTTCTTCAAAGGTGCTGAGTTCTCTAGAACTAGAAAAATTCCAGTAGACTTTCAATAACTCTTGTCAAAACATGGTGAGGAGGATTCCTATGTTAGGAAGGTGAGAGAAGGCCATGGCTCCAAGACAACTCCCAATGTCCTTCTAGAAGGTTTTGCAGGAAGGGGTTGAAAAGGATGTTTTGTGGCGGCACTGGGCTAAAAGAACAAATTGACTAAATCTTAAAAGTAATAAAGACTTCAAACGAAAGCACATCGTGAAAAATGAGTATACTTGTCTTATTTCATAAGAACTATGGAGTATAAAGAAGGTTAGAAATCTTTTTTATAATGACTTGGCCTTCTCCTATAGAGAGAAATATTAGGTAAATTGCTTTTCTATGTGTCACTGCAGAGTATAAATAATTATATGAAATGAAAGAATAATTGTGGGAAGGAGTACAAATATATGCGAGGTCTCTGGTGACAGAGTAATGGCTCGCCGACATCCACCCCCTCCCCCCCTTGATGGCCGGTGCCGCCTTCTATCCAAGAAGCAGCTTGATTTGTCAGGAAATTATGCTCTGAAAGGGTATTTCAAATGGCCCACAGCCCCCACCCTCCTCCACCCCGTCCTCTGGAAATGACTATTGACCGTCACAATCTTTGCTGGACAGCTGCTCACCATATAGTGTTCTCAAGGTGCCGCCTGGAAGAGAAGCAGACTACGCTAGAAAAATAGCCCAAATGACAGCATCATTTTTACTTAATACTTGAATCGATTTTTCTCTTTTTCCCCTGAAGCATTTTCTCTCTTGCTATCTTTCCTCATAAAACCCTTGAGACTTGTTTGGGAAATGTTTTACAAATAAGGAAACGTATACAGGGAAATCAGGCAGCACATAAGTGGAATTCAACTCTCTCCACAGCCCAGTCCATAGTTTTTTTCAGCGGAAACTCTTGTAACAGGAACTCTTCTGAGAGGACAGAAAGCGAAGGGAGCCTTGGATACGTCGGGGTCTCTGGAGTCACTAAGGTGAGACATTCCGGGGTGGAAAGCCTGAGAGACCACCTAGCTGAGCCTCTGTTAACGCTGGAAGTGGGGCCTAGAAAGATGCAGATGGCAGCTGAGCAAGGTGAGGCCTGGACGCCAGATGCCCAGGGCCCCTGGGCACTGTGGAAATTGCACTCCGTGTTATTCGGAAGGCATCACCTGAGTATTATTCATTCCGAGCATATCCTTTTTCCTTTTCCTTTTTCCCAAGTCACTTCATTTTGAAACTCACTTGCAGTTCTGCAGAGAGGGCTGTATGAGCCCCCACCTCTCCCTCCAGACTGATGTCCACGTCTTCCCTGCGTTCGCTTCAGCTGAGAATCCCTCGGTCACCCAGGCCTGTTTGAAGAGGTGATCGGGGCAGCAAAGGCTGAAGAGACCAAGGAGAACCGAAGAGAGCTCATCTAGAAAACTCATTTTCACACTCTTAATGAAGTTTTTTGTTTTGTTTTTTTTTTTTGTTTTTTTTTTAATTTTAAAGCTTTGGTTATAACAGCACAGCCTCGGGAGACAGACCGAGCAGGAGTACTTTACTTCCCGATTACAGGGAGTGATGTGAAGCCTCGAACTCTAGAAAGAAATGCTTTACATGCAAGTCAGGACGATCC